TTCTGCGCACTTCGTTTTCGCGCAATTGCAATTCTCCATCCTCCCCGCCTTGCTTTCTTCGTGTTCAGCAATGCTTTTCTGTGTGCCCATGTTGAATGTTCCTGCTGCGCGTCCCCACTACCCTTTATCGCCTGGGGTTCTTTCGTCATGCCCCTTTTCCCGCCGCTTTGTCCCCTCCTATGCTCCCACCCCCTCCCCTCGACCCTTCTCCCAGCCCTTGTCATCCAGCTACTTAAATTGTTAAAATCTCACGAGTTTCCAGTTCACCCCGCTCCCAAATTACATAACCCAGGCTGGAATGCACCAGGCTTGCCGATGCGATCATTCGTTTTTGCACCAAACTTGAAATAATCTGGTCATTAATTGCATGAATGGTTATTGCTTTACACCTACCTTGTGCGCTCACTAGCGTAAATCATCGTAAATTTCGCATAAAGAAAATGAACAATTTCCGTTTAACGGTCGTTTTTTGAAATTGACGTGCTGTTCAGCGAGCAATTTTCCCGCCAAAATTCTTAAGTGCCTGTACATGAAAACCACGCCCACCTAGGGGCTGGATTTGAAATCTTTAGCTCTGGCATGCACAAAGAATATTTCTGCAAGGCTTCAACCCTCTGTCTTGTCTGGTTCCCGAAATCGTTTTCCCGCCGAAAAATTTGCATATTTTTCTGAGGCGTCCGTCCGTGGAACTCAGGTGTAGGCTGATGATAATATCGCAAGGGTGGAGTGCATATACTGTCAAAGTTTCAGCTTTCTAGCTTTTCTGTTTTTCGAATTGAAAGTGCGTGACAAAAAGTGCGAACACACAGACACATGCACACAGCCTCTTGTGGCAGTTTGCGTTTTTGCATTTGCATATATGCAAAAACGCATAAAAAATGAGTCTGATTTTGAGTCCCTCGCACTTACCTGTCCCCAGCTATGTCGTTTACAGTTTTTCGAGTTTCAGGTTGTTGGTACCACTGGAGACGTCGGGTTGCAGGACCTGACTGCTGCGGACGGAGTGCCAGCATCCGCACGGTAATCGCATTTCATTTTCGCAGAACTAATACTCATCATGCTGTTGATGTGTCTTGTTTTGAAGTAGAGCGGGAACATTCTTGGGTCGGCTGAAGCCTTGCCAAATACTTTCGCCCAGAGAACCGTGGAACTGGTCATCCGTCCAGGATTCCAGCAGCAGCAGCAGCAACAGGCTGACCATAGGCGATGCAGCATTGGTCAAAGCAATTGGAAAAGAGCCAGGAGTTTATGTAGCTGACAAAACTTTCATTGACAGTGTTAGCTAATATTTGCTCAATGAATAGCATTTATAATTGTGCTTGAATCTAATAACTTTTTAACTTAGCGACTGATGCTGAATAAATGTTCACAATGTTGATCTAAAAACCCCCGAAAATATCTCTAAATAGAGTTCTAATTTCGGGAATATTTCTAGATCTCGATCGAAATCCTGGGAATATCGACCCAAAAATCCCCGAAAATACTCTGCTTTTTTTTGGAGTTAATAATTTTCTGCATTTTTTTTTTTTTGAGAAGATGTGATGTCGGAGAAAAGTGACCAGCAAATGGTTGAGAGGGAAGCAGCGACGACGACAGGATGCGGTTCACAGATTACCGATATGGCGCGACCAAATAAGTCAGCAAAACTCGCCAAGCAAAATGGAGTGGACGAGGATGAGGGGGACGAGGCTTGTTACTTCATACTTGAGATATTTGGATCAAATATAACCCGTGGCCTTGGTTCTCCATCTTTGCAGCTGTTTCTACGAATACTGTGCCACTGGCGGGTCAGCTTCTTGTTGCTGTTGACCGTTTTCCTGGAGTGTTTTCCTGGAGACTAACAGTTAATATCTGTCTAAGCATTCAGGTTTGTGATGCTGCCAACAAACAAACAAACAAACAAACACACACACACACACACACACACACGTATGCACGCATATTGTGTTTTGGTAGAAAAGCACTGGAAAAAATATTGGTTGCAAAAGAATGAATATTCCTACTCTTAACGGTGAATTACTTGATTTGTGGATCGATGAAGAACGCAGCTGGTTACGATAAATAGTGCGATTTGCAGACACATTGTGCACTAAAATTTCTCAGATTCTGCTTCAGGAACCGACCAGTTCTCAGCAATTCATCTTTTTTGACGACTCGGGAATTAATCACCCAATCAGCACGCTTTTCTCATAAAATGCATTTCCTCATAAGTAATATATATAATGGTTTTCCGTATCTTGGGTTAATTCACTCTTCTTGCACTCTTCTCTCACTCTGCTTTTTCTTTCTCTGTTTTCTCCTCTCATTTATCCGTCCTGCAAATTAGTTATATGACTGTTCAGAATGTGGCGAGTAGGAGGCTGTACTGGTGATTCCCGCTCCCACCCGCACGCATAATTCGGTCTGTGTTTACAGATAAAGGATGAAACACGCAGTCTGCATCGTAAAATGTCTTCTTACACATGAAACTTAAGTCTAATTCTTCTATTCTTCTGTTTCGAAAGCACTTTGTGCCATCTCAAAAGTGAGGACCTCTTCCTTGCCTTTGAGAGGGGAAAGACACCCGAAAATGTCCTGTAGGGTAGAAAATGCGATTTCGGCTGGCAAGGCAGAGATAGCTTATTCGGAGTTTGCTAATAACTATTACAGCAGTTCATTTAAGAGGATGAAATTTTTGCAGGAATCAGAGAGATGTGTTCAGGAGGAATTCAAATCAAACAGGGAAGAGGCAAACGAAGCAACAGCTGTTTTTGTTCAGCAATTTCACTGCAGTGGCACCAACAACAGCAACGAGCTTCTTGCGACGGCGAGTGAACAGTTCGATCGCGAAAAGCTTGTAATTCCACCGAGGAAGCTATCAATGTGGAAGGCACCAGCGCGATCACCTACACTATCGGTATCAGTTGTTCGATGCACTGTTACCAAAATGCAATCAAATTTTGGGCACCCTACCCTGGGCTATTTAATCGTACGCGAAGGTCATCCCATTGGTCGCTTCCCCTTTCACCACAGCTAAAATCATTTTTCTTTGAACAGGAAACCGATTGTCTGCTATATTCTTCAGAAGCTTTGTAGTACTGGTCAGTTGACTACTTTTACAGTTTCCCAGCGAAGCAGGTAAGTTTTGAAACTGCGCAGCAAGCAACCTTTTTTTTCGGTTGTTTTTGGATATCTTGCGCCGGTCATCCGCCGAAGACATGTAACAGCTGTTCCGCTTCAAGAAGTCTTTTTTTTCCCGGCTGGCAGATTTTCTCCACCGAATAATGCGATGATCATAAATTAAAGACATCTCGAAACCGCTAAAGGGATGCTACGGGGTAGTTCGGGTGGTGGAGCTCCGGTCTGATGGCTAATCTTCTGAGGGGATCAGTTGTTGGGATTTGAGGGGATTAGGAATTTCTCTAGACAGAAACACGTGATCATTGCATTATTCGGAATGTTTCCGTTCCTGACCACAGTGAGTTATTTTTCCGACACAGGCGAATCCAGAACGGCCTCCTGAGGAGTAGGGCAGCGATTACAGGCAGGAGGGGTCGAGAGAAGATAGTGGAGCTTGTACCAGCGACGGGTGAAGGGGGAGAGAGAGTGGGGCTTCTGGAATAGCGGCGACAAGGGGAGGGGAGGGGGAACTTTTCGCCTTCCGCCCTCTTCCCCTGGGTCTGCCTATGTTCACCGAACGGGTTAAATGCTCTTCTGACTACAGATGTAACTGAATGTTGAACAGTGGTGAAAAGTGGACGGATTTTCAGCCGTCTTGCCAGAAAAATTTCACTGTTCCGGCTCGACCCCGGTTACTGGTACGTAGTCATGCATTTTCTGGTGATGACGATACAGGTGCTTCACTCAGGCATACGCCAACTTCACGCTTGCTTACTTCACGTTCCACATTTTCTTCCACCTCTTTTGGTTAGTTTTTATGCGTTTTTT